TTAGTCACTGAGAAAGGATTAGCAATTTTCATTTAACCACAAATACAGCAGTGTAGGTGCTGGAATTCAGAGTAGGGGAAAAATGCATTAACTGGAAAAAAAGTTTCTTTTCTCATTATTGGAGTATCATAATTATAGTTGAATTTCACCATGTACAATTGCTCCTTGATGGTTCTTGTTGAGTAATTTCATTCAATAAGAGTCTGTCAATACAATTCTTTCAAATGTCAGTTTATACAATATCAAGAATAATGGGCTCACTCAGGTGCACCTGGAAATTGTAATAAAACATTAATTTTGGACAAAACTCATAATCATCTGGTTTAGTACTCTACAGTTATCTCTGAGTTTTTTGAGGAGCTCCCTGGAATAAATGCAAACATTACAATCTATGTTATACAATGAGCCATAAATAACCAGGCAGTAAAGTACTGAAAAAGGAATATTCTCTGTATAATGTACTTTATGAGAAGTCCTGTTATTATCTAGTCCAAGACAGGAGTGAGTAAACTGTTCTGTATCACTTCTACGTTTCTGGAAAGTAAGTGCACTCTCATTTCTTACATTCAATATATTTTTTTGAGGTTCACAAGGGTGGATTGTTTTATCAAGCCTAATTTTTTTTTGCTTTCATTTTCCTGGATAATTAACCATGGCAAATTAAGTGGTAGGAAATAACTGATGCTCATACTTCATTAAAAAGGTCACTTCAGGATACTTTCACAGAAGATTCAGAGAGGTGCTCTGTGAATGAAACAGGGAACAAGGGTCCAGCTGCTGACCGTGGGGAGATCAGAGCAAACAGTGATGGTCATGAATATGGCAAGAATAATTTTGATGGTTTTTCCCCCTTTCCTGCCAATGCAGTTTGAATGCTGAATAGCATGAAGGGATCTGGGAGGTTTGCTTAACAGGAACTTTTCCATAGTTTTTAACTATGAGCCTGACACTCATCTCTGGTTCTTGTCAATAATAAAAAAAATCAAACTCAGGAAAGGAGTTTATCTTGAAAGGAACAGTAAGAGAAGTATTTGCTGTCCTTTCCTTTCTTTCCAGCTCAGCAAGCTTAACAACCTGTCTGGCTCTTCAAAGACAGCAGCACACCATGAAGTTTTCTGTCTGTAACTTCTGCCAGGCAACGTGGGCAGGCATTTACACAACAAACCTGTTCCACATCACTTTAATCAAGACCTACAGGAGTACACAGCAAGAGTAGTAACCTAAGAATTTCCTCAAAATGGAGCAGAGAACACTGTGCTGAGCTGGAACTTGAGGAAATAGATGTAGCAATTGCAATTTATCATTTGGGTTTTCACAATGTATGTTTGTGTGTGTGTGTACAACAGGAAGGGCTAAGCTTCCATAGCTTATGCCAGTGTATTTATGATGATGAGTGTAACCTGCTAAGTGGTTTAAGAATTCTATTTAATATATTCAAGGTTATCACTTGACAAAAGAGTACTTATTATCTGTCTGTCATTGTAGTCCTGCATCAACTAAGTCATGTGAATTTGTACTGCTAGCAGGTGGAATAACTAGAAGCTAAGTAATTTGTGACAGAAATGATGGGTAAATCAAAAGGAAGCTATTGTCTGGAAATGGGCTTGTTTTTGTAAAAATCCAGGGTGTATTTTGGAGGCCTGCTGAAAGCTTTGCTTCTAGTGAAACAGCTGTATAGCAGTGACAGACTTTCAATGTAACTATCAAATAGAAGCACTATTGCTTTAGCAGTTATGTCTAGGCTTAAAAAACCCTCCATTTAAGGCAATCTATTTATGCAGAAAGATGTAATGCCCCATCCCAGCAGCATAAATTAATCCTTAAATTGGTTAATCTTTAAGTTCTCTTTTTGCATAAGAGAACCTCTGCAGACACCAAATCACATAAAACTGAACATGAGCTGTCAGTGCAATGGTAAAAGAAATTCACTCTCCTCAACTACTGAGTGAGAAGGAGAAAGGGAAAAAATGAAACCAACAGCTGCATTGCCCTGCCAAGCTGTTTTCCAGATACTTAATTATATCAGCTTTCCAGTGTAGTTCTGTGTTTCACTGAAACCTCTGTGGTGAATTTTGCAGAAAAAAAGACGTAAAAGCATTTTGTCTTTAGTAAGGAATAAGTTTTCTGAGTATTTGGAAGGCAATCTGCCACTTAGCTTGACTTAAAAGTTCTGGTAAATAAAAAGCATCTCATTATCTTTGTTCCCAACGACCCTAATAGCAGAATAATGCCGGCATTTTAAGTCTCCGTGTAGTTAAATTAACTGAAATCTTACACATTGATGCCATTAGGTTCTAATGCAGCAGTTGTTAAATGTTAAGTAATCCTGTTAGGCTCTGAAACCTACAGTCCAACATGAGCCCCTCATCTCAGATAATGGAGGTGGGATCACTGCGCCATCAAAGGCAGCAGTCGGGTGCACTGCCCTCCAGAACTGACACACAAACAGTCCTCTCACTTTTAATGAGAGAGAGACATCCTGAGACAGCATCAACACTGCGATGGGCAGCTGATTTTGCCTGCCTGCTGCTGTTTTAAGAGCCAAACCCTTTGGCTCTCTAAGGCCTAGAGAGAGATCCTTAACTATCTCTCTCATCCATGTGAACAGAGATATCACTGCTTAAATCCCTTCTTGGAGCACTGTTGCTTTGGATGTCTCTGTTCCAGAGAAGAGGTCAGGTGTTCAGTGCAGAGTTTTTCAATACAAAGGAACAAAGAATACATCCTTTCCTTCTCTGTACTTAAGTGATCAAGGATTCAGTGATGAACGCATATTTTCCACCGAATCATGTGCAGTAAGAGATTCAATTCTGACTCTCTTGCATCCCACATCAGTACCCCCTTGTGCAGACTTGAGTTGGTTTGGGTTTTTTTCTTTGTTTGTTTGTTTTTGGTGTGGGTTTTTGTTCGTTTGTTTGTTTGGGCTTTTGGTTTTGTTTTCAAAAAATGCAGTGAATGTTTTTTGCCCACAGGTGAAGCAAAGCTGGTTTTAGCAGCCTAGAGAGTTATCACAAAATGGCAATGTCTTCCTCTGGTCATCTCTGATACAATAGAGGCAATTCAGAATTAAGATTGTGCTTAACGTAGATACAAGTATGATGAAGTAAAAAAGAAGAGTTAAACAGCAACACTACAGGTAAGACACACCTGTTGAGAACAATTTCTGACTTGCACTGCAGAGTTTGATGCCACCTAATCCCCCATCATGCACAAGAACACGTCTCATCCATTGGATTTATCCCAGTTCTTTACTGGCTTTCAACTATGTGACAATCCTCACTTTCCAGAAGGTGGGAGTCTCTCCCTTTCTACGGGGTTGCTGCTTGGCTCGGATTTTATTGTTTGTTTTCTTTTTTTGTTGTTGTTATGATCAAACAATAACATTTATTCCATTGGCTTGCTAGATACAGGCTACACATCCTGTAGTAGCATTTCCATTTTTTCCTGTTTTCAGTGTTTCATCAGACTGAATCAAAATTATTAGTAAAAGACATTGAACAGCAAGGCATTATGAATGAGTTTTACTAAACAAACCACATTTAAGAGTTTTGATTTAAGTCCACTAAATGTGATAAAAAGCTTTGCAAGCACTCAGAAAACAACAGTCCTGAGGGCCTTACAAAATAAACTTGTAGGTAGGTACGTAGTTGAGAAGCCAGTTCATGAGTGCAGTTAGGCCATTTCTAATTTAATAGAATCAGTGGGATGCTCTACACAACACTATGCTCAAAACAGAGAATTTTATGGGGCATCCAGTATTTCCTCTTTGACACTGATGCATGGTTACAGATACCTGTAAAATAGCTAAGGGCCATTAAACACTCAGAGATATCCCATGGAGAAACAAATATGGAAAGAGTTTTGAAAACTGTCAACAAAAGAAACCCAAACGGTCATTAGAAAAGGCATCAAAGCTGCTGAGAAGCTTCTATTCAAAGAAAGAAAGTAAAAAAAGAAATAATACCAATTGAAAAAAAAAAGAAAATAGTCATCTTGTATTAGTGAGGCCTAAAATTATTGCAATAGATAAAATGGGGTATAAAGAAGTAAAATTGTTTCTTTTGTATAGCAAGTCAATAACAGTTTTTCAATCTTTTCCCTGCTTTTACCATATTTTTCTTCTTTAAGAAAAACTTTAAGTAACATTAGAGGTGAGATGTCCTGAAAAGATACAAGTGTGACATTTAGCCCATGTACAGATTCATTTTACATAGAAATATATAGTTTGGAAAGGAACAGAACTGAACTCTGATCCAGTTATAGCTATAATTGAGATACATGTATTTATTCTTTTGATGGAAGATGGTGTTTAATGGTTCCAGAAGAGAATGGATAACACATCCTTTCTTGGGATGGATGCCTCTAATCTACCCTTCTATCGTGTTTCAGGCCAGTGTCTGACAGCAGCCTGTTTACCTGGAATGAGGTTATCATTCCTGGCTTACACTCAACCTTATGCCAACCATTTGAGCTCCCTCGTGCCATCATGAGGTGGTTTGAGATAGAAATTGAAACTACAAAAACCTACAGAGGATTCAAAAGCTGTATTAACACACAATTGAGTTATCCCTCTCCAAATTTGTTTTGCTTCTGTGTTTTAGCAAGGGAATGTACATTTTTAGGCAAGAGTCACAGAGTCACATAAATGCTGAGATTTTACAGTGGCATTTTTGAAGTTATCTTTCTTTGGTGCGTATGGACATGCTTCATGAAATGTATGATTAGAGTGTACCAGACCTGCTCTTCCAATATTTAGGTTGGCCACTTCACTACAGATTAGTTTCCCTCACAATTTCTCCTTCACATTGATTCAGGAAAATGATTAGTTCCCAAAAAATAATAATTTTTTCCGTTTCCTTTTGGTCCAGATTTTTATTGGAAGGAACATTTAATCTCCCTGTTTGACCAATAGCAAATTTTATTTCCCTAAGATGTGTGGAGAGATGGGGCAGAAGGTGAAAGAAAAAAATCGATGTGGGGGAATAGGCTGGAATACCTACCAGAGGAAATGCTGGGGGGTAAAGATCCACCTCCTGACACTGGATGTGAGGCCAGGATGCTATTTAAAAATCCCGCCCTCAGGAATCTCGAAAGAGACTTCACCCCAATGGTCGGAAAGGATCCTTTCAAAGAGATAAAAATGATCATTAATTAAATGACTTGTTCTTTGGCTGACAAAGGAAGTCGACTGTTTAAAGAAAGAACAATCAAAACTCTTCAGTTAACAGTGGTTTCACTGGAACAGATTTAATAAAAAGCAGTTAAAAATCTTTGTTTGCTTTTTAACCAAGTCATACAATACACGGATTTAACCAGAATAAGGTTTTCTGCATACTGTGAAAATGGAGAATTCCAGCACTTCTGTGAGGAGCAGAAAAATTTGGTATTTCAACAGCAAATTACACCTATGGGGTATTCATAATGCATTCCAAATGACTCTACCATGGAGGCATTTGACAGTTGTGTGCACAAATCAAAGGCATACCAGCAGAGGTGAAGTTGTACTAGCAAAGCTGTTGTGTTAGTTATACTAGTATTCTAAAGCCACCACCTGACAAAAGTCATGTCAAACAAGGGGAAAAGGGAAACAGAATTTGCAGCTGCCTTGTGTCAGGGCAGCTACATCAGTCAGAGCTTCTGTCACATCTCCCAACACCTTGTCAATATATTGATACAGGCAAAAACCAGGAGTACAGACATGGCCCCTTTCTGCTTTGCTCTCACTGGAAGATTAACATATTTTATGCTTTCAGTATAATTAACTGTGTATTCTTCTCATTGCCTAAAAGCACAAAGAATCTTTAGCATTTGATCCAGCTTCCAGCACAAATACAGTGATCTGGAAACATCATTTCAACTGGTTCACGTTAGTGCTCAATGAATGAGCATTGAGGGTGGATCTGAAATGAGAGCTCTACATCTTAGTTAAAGGCAGAGAGTCAAGATTTTCCCATTTGGCAATAAATTTAAATTGACAGTCAGAATAATCTGTGTATTTTTGCAAGCGTGTCTTGTGAGCACCCATCCAAAAGCTTAGGCAAGGGCAAGTTTGATCTCATCATCTTGTGGGTATTTCAGAGTTGTTCTTCTAAGAGACTGAAAACATCTTGATCTTTATACACAATGAGAAAAATAAGTGGCCCTCAACCACTGGGATTTTTTTTTAACTAGTAAGAGTGAGGAAAATTTACCCTCAAAACACACATGCATTTGCTGAACTCAAAGTAGCCTAAGAGAGCTTTGAATTTTTTACTTTTATTTTCAAGCTAGAGTTCTATTGTTTCTCCTCAATACACTTTTCCTTTAAATTTGCTAATTAGACTTGCTGCAGTCTGTGGAAAAAGAATTCATTTAATTAGTGTTCTAGATGAAGTACTTCTATATCTGGTGGCTAAAGATAAGGCATAAAAGCTTTCCCTCTGGCTACTCCAGAAAAGTCTTTGGCATTCTTGTAAAAGTGTTTCTAAATTCCATTACTTTAATTTTAAAATATTTGCAGAAGTGATCATGGATAGACAGTACAGAATGAAATACACAGAAATCCAATTTTAAAATGGAAAATTGTTCCATTAACTCCAAGATGTTTGGTACTAAACAGCATCTTAAAACATAAAGTCTAAAAAATGAACATACAAAGACTTCCCATATAAAACAGCTTCACTGTTTCAAAATATAAATTACACCAACCATAAAGTACAGCCACTGCGAGTCACATGCCATATGTACAGACCTTCAGAAAACCCAAACAGCTTGAGCTTCAGAATTGACATTTTCCTTTATTTAAATGCTGTTAAATTGCAAGTAACTCAAGCTTCCTAGCAGTCTTACAATAAGTAACTTTGTTATAGGAAATAATGAAGTTTATTTCACTTATTATAAATATTCAGAAATAAAACCAAAGAACAACAAATTTAAAGCAATTAAATCTGTTAATACTAGAGCTAGAGGGCTAAAATTATTGAGGTTTTATAATCAGCAAATAACTAAAGGAATACATATAAATAATGTTTTTCACACTTTTAAGTTAGGATTCAGTTGCTGGGTGTAAATGCTTTGTGCCATTTGAGATTCTCTAGAAAATCTGAGACATTCACAGTTAATGTGACCTTACATGATTTACACTCTTTGAAAGTGGCAGTGAGAGGCAAAGCAGCAGTTGGGTATCTAAGAGTAGGCACTTAGGGTCATTTTAGGCAACTGAATCCCACCCAAACAGTCTCCTGTCACCTCAGAAATGTCTCTGATTAGGTAGAACACAGAGTTAGAAGAACAAGACCTCATTTGGTCTCTTCCAGCAGTCCACAAACAGCTTGGGAAAAGGACAAGGTTGATAACATTCAGCCCTGATCAGTATCCACCAACAAAAAACTGCAGAAAAATGAGAGGTTGAAAGTTCATTCATCTTAAAGCGTGCATGGTCATAAATTAAAATACATTGTATGCCCCAGAATGGACAGATGGATGCTTTTGGTTTTATCACCTGGATAATGTGGGTAGGGTTTGACACTCAGTTACATGACTTCATATGTGGAAGTTGATTACCACTGCAGGTGAAGAAAATTAATTCTTTTTAAGCCACATCAATCACCACCAGAAAGGCAGAGGCTTGATAAGAAATTTGGGCATTTATGGCAGTTTCAAAGCTTACTCAAATTTTTACTTGTTTGCATAAAGGTTCATGAAATTTTTGAAAGAATCACAGAATGGTTAAGGGTGGAAAGGACTACTGGAGGTCACCTAGGTCATCTTTCTTGAGAAATGCCATTCTGTCAGTGCACATCACACACAGATTAGTGCTTTACACCCATTCTGTTGTTCTGTGTAAAAATTGACACTCATTTTTGCAGTGGGTGCTCTTACACTAATGAGAAGACCTTTCAGTGTGAGGTCTTACCGGTTCTAAAGTGAGAAAAGGAGAAATGAATATTAAGCCATGATTCCTCAGTCCCCTGAAATACAGTTGTTATTTCACAGAATCATAGAAACCACCGGGTTGGAAAAGACCTCCGAGATCGAGTCCAACCCTTGATCCAACCCTGCCATGCTTCCCAGACCATGGCACTGATGCCACATCCAGTCTCACCTTAGAAACCTCCAGGGATGATGACTCCACCACTTCCCTGGGCAGCCCATTCCAATGGCTGATCATCCTCTCTGTAAAGAATTTCTTCCCAATACCCAACCTAAACCTCCCCTGGCACAGCTTAAGACCATGCCCTCTTGTCCTACTGCTGGTTCCTGGGAGAAGAGACCAACCCCCACCTGGCTCCCCCCTCCTGTCAGGGAGTTGTAGAGTGAGGAGGTCTCCCCTGAGCCTCCTCTTCTCCAGGCTAAACAACCCCATCTCCCTCAGCCTCTCCTCACAGCACTTGTGCTCCAGTCCCTTCCCCAGTCTCATTGCCCTTCTCTGGAACTGCTCCAGCCCCTCAATGTCCTCCCTGAACTGAGGGGCCCAGAACTGGACACAGCACTCGAGGTGTGGCCTCACCAGTGCTGAGTCCAGGGCAAGAATCACTTCCCTGGTCCAATTTAGCAGCTTACAGCCATGGACATATTGAGGATAAAACCCCAACCTGCTCCATAGTTACACACTATGTATCAACATAATGCCACCTTAACAGGGGAAACTGCGTTAGTTACAGATATTAGTTGGAAAAGTGCACTGAAACTGTAAAAATACGTGGCAATACTCTGAATAGCTGACACTTTGTGAAGTGTACACCATTTACTGAGTCCTGTGACACCAATTTATAACTCAGTGTAAATTCTTCTGTTTCACAATAATTACAGCTAAGTGCTTGTGCTCAGAGGCAGTGGGGGAGTCCTGAATCAATTAGCCTGCCTTCCACCTTCAGCTGTTGTTCCAAGGGGAATATCATCCCACAAATTGTTAGAATTTGATAGGGAAATCACTGGTACAGCATCCTGAACAGGCATGGTTTTAGTAGCATATTATCACACTGAGCAGAAGGGCAGGAGTAGAGATTGCTGGGTAAAGGAAATCCATATGCTTAGTTCAGCTCCAAAGCACATCCATTAATTCACACCCATTCATTAGCACGGCGTGGTGACAGCGTGGTCAGCCAGGAGAAACAGCCATGTCCCCTCACACCACAGGCACATCCCACAGCCTTGGGCCAGTGACAGAGCTGTGCTGGAGAGTCCTGGATCTACAGTGGAGGAGAGTTCTGCCTTTGGACAGATGGATGGGTGGGTGGGTGGATGGATGGATGGATGGATGGATGGATGGATGGATGGATGGATGGATGGAGAGAACGGCACCAAACACCCCTGGTGCAACACTTGTGGGAACACAGTGGACTAGAGTGAATGTTTGAACAGGGGGTGGAGAGGCCCTTGTGGGCTACAGTAAAAGCATTTGAAAGCAACCAACTCGTGCTTTAAAACTCTCAGGGACTGAATAAACAAAGAAATCTTAAACTGACCCATTATTTTTGCTGCTGAGGAACTTTCTCACCAATTCCCATGAGTTTTGCACCCATATAGTGCCAGCACAGCACTGGCTGTTCTCAGAGGCCCATGTGCCACCCTGTCCTCCTCACCAGCTGCTGGCTTCTTTGTCCCTCTACCATCAGCAGAACTTGACTGGATGCCATGGTAGTCTCTGGGCCCACAAGACTAACTGGGATGGCATCTGAAGCTGTTAAGTTGTGCAGGTACAGACAGGCCGTGTCATCAGTTTGTTCTGTTTGTGCCACAGTCTCTGAGCTTCCCTGGGAGCAAACTAATCTTTTTTTTTTTTTTCCCCACTATAGCAAATTGTACCATGAGATCTTAGTGCAGCTTGTGAAGATTTGCTTTTAAAAAGGAGAATGTTTCTAGAATCTCTGCATTATGTCTAATGACATGGCTACAGTAGGTTATCAGAAAACATACTGAAGATGCAGACTGCCCTTCAGCCCTGTTCTTTGTAATTGCTGTTTTTTCTTATCTATTACACTTGGAACTGATTCAACACTTTCTGCAGGTGGAACTGACCATTTCAGCTGCTGTGGACTTTTCAGCATCTGACAGCTTCAAATTCAAAAGTAGCTCTTTTGGCTGCTTAAATTAATAAACTGAAATGAGAAGTTCTAGAGAGGTCAAAATTACTGTCAGTTAT